TTTTTTTTTTTTTTTTTTTTTTTTTTTTTTGCTTTACCACATCATTCTTCTTTAAGTGAAGGATGTTTAGTTTGTGTGATATGAATTGCTTTCTTGATTAGTCTATGTAATAGGTGTTTTGTTGTATGACGATAAATTCCCACATTTTAATAGGCTTACAATTCTTGCACTGCAGAATAAGTTAATAACTTCTTTCTTAATGCCAATATCGTACAGATGTTCTAAGAGAGAAAAGATATTTTAAACAGATTTTCGCAGTGTTCACACCATGCAAGCTTAACAACAATAGTGACTCCTAGGTACTTATGTGTCGCTACTTGCTGCATAATGTGGTTACTTAATGTGAGATCTGAAATTGGTTGATTCCCTCTCCGGAAATCGACAGCAATTTCTTTAGTTTCTGAGACTTTCAAATGAAAAACATTTTCATCGCATCAAAGCTTGTAACTAAGTTGTGGTATAAGCCTTCTCTTTCAGATATAAGGTCAACGATGGTGGCATCGTCAGAAAATTTAGCGTCTGGAACGTTGCTGGTTGGGCTCTGGATATCAAAGGTAGATATTGCATAAAGGACAGGGGAGAGAACGCAACCTTGTTGTGCCCATGTACTTATTTCTCTAGTTAATAATATTTAGTAATTCCCCTTGATTTATAGTGGGCAATTTGTTAAAAATTTCAGAGTATTTGAATTTTCACCTAACAAAGAAAGCTTTTTAATCTTGAGGTGTGGTTGGATAGTGTTAAATTCCTCAGACAAGTAAGAGAATATATATTTAGATAAAAGAAAGATATCAATTAAACTAGTTACAAGTTTGTAAAGATAATATGTCTGACGATACTAGACATAAATATACTTTGTATGAAGTTACTTGGTATGAAGAAACTTAATATGAAGATACTTGCTATTCAAATACTTGGTATGAAGAAACTTAGTATGAAGATCCTTGGTATGAAGATACTTGGTATGAAGATACTTAGTATTAAGATCCTTGAAATGAAGATACTTGGTATACAGATACTTGGTATGAAGATACTTGGAATGAAGATACTTGATATGAATGTGGCAATGTGCCACTATTTGCAACTGCTTTTAGGTAACATTTTATATGCGGCAGTATGGAACAGATAGGAATAAGAGAATCCACTCTCATAGTCATAGTGTGACTGCTATGGGCATGGGTAACCCCAAGCACGGACACATCCATGGTCAGTTAAAGTTAAAGTAACACTCAGCCGTGTATTGGCCTTAAATTTTATGTAGGTTATTTACACGCGGGAATAACCATCCCTGCTCCGGGGTTGACCCATGGTCAGCTCGGACGCGGGTTCCCTGTGACTGTGTGTGGGAGGGGGGGGGGGCGAACTGGGACTTGAGGTGTGTACATTTTTTGGATTGTGGTGTGGAACGGATGCGTCGGGTCGATGGCAGGGGTGAGAGATTTTCCTGTCGGCTCTGTCAACGGATTGTACCTAGAGCATTAATAAAGCTATAGTTAGGGGGGGGGGGGGGGGGGGGGGGGGGGGCGAACTGGGACTTGAGGTGTGTACATTTTTTGGATTGTGGTGTGGAACGGATGCGTCGGGTCGATGGCAGGTGTGAGAGATTTTCCTGTCGGCTCTGTCAACGGATTGTACCTAGAGCATTAATAAAGCTATAGTTCTCAGACCTGATTGTTATATTTTGTGATTTTATTTAAACTGTAAGCTACGTCACCACTCGGCTACATGAAGATACTTGATATGAAGATACTTGGTATGAAGATACTTTGAATGAAAATGTTTGGTATGAAGATAATTGGTATGAAGATACTTTGAATGAAAATATTTGGTATGTCGTCACTTGGTATGAAGACACTTGGTATGAAGATACTTGGTATGAAGACACTTGGTATGAAGACACTTGGTATGAAGACACTTAGTATGAAGACACTTGGCATGAAAACACTTGGTATGAAAACACTTGGCATGAAGACACTTGGTATGAAAACACTTGGTATGAAGACACTTAGTATGAAGACACTTGGTATGAAGACACTTGGAATGAAGACACTTGGTATGAAGACACTTGGTATGAAGACACTTGGCATGAAAACACTTGGTATGAAGACACTTGGCATGAAAACACTTGGTATGAAGACACTTGGTATGAAGACACTTGGTATGAAGACACTTGGTATGAAGACACTTTGTATGAAGACACTTGATATGAAGACACTTGGCATGAAAACACTTGGCATGAAGACACTTGGCATGAAAACACTTGGTATGAAGACACTTGGCATGAAAACACTTGGTATGAAGACACTTGGCATGAAGACACTTGGTATGAAGACACTTGGTATGAAGACACTTGGCATGAAGACACTTGGCATGAAGACACTTGATATGAAGACACTTGGTATGAAAACACTTGGCATGAAGTCATGAAGACACTTGGCATGAAAACACTTGGTATGAAGACACTTGGCATGAAGACACTTGGTATGAAGACACTTGGTATGAAGACACTTGGCATGAAGACACTTGGCATGAAGACACTTGGTATGAAGACACTTGGTATGAAGACACTTGGCATGAAAACACTTGGTATGAAGTCATGAAGACACTTGGCATGAAAACACTTGGTATGAAGTCATGAAGACACTTGGCATGAAGACACTTGGCATGAAGACACTTGGTATGAAGACACTTGGTATGAAGACACTTGGCATGAAAACACTTGGTATGAAGACACTTGGTATGAAGACACTTGGTATGAAGACACTTGGTATGAAGACACTTGGTATGAAGACACTTGGTATGAAGACAATTGGTATGAAGACACTTGGTATGAAGACACTTGGTATGAAGACACTTGGTATGAAGACACTTGGTATGAAGATACTTGATCAGCGCCGAAGCCCGAGAGATGTTGGACACGTTGACGGAAAGAAGCCAGCGTTACAACAGCATTTGCAACAGATGTTGAAACCACGTGAAGACAAATTTACATGAGGATCAGCGTATTTATTTGAGCTCTGATTTCACAACTGTCTCAACTTAAATGAAAACAGTCAAGGCGCTGCTGTTGCTGAGAGGGCGTGCTTGTAGTGTTGTTTTTTTTAATTTTTTTTTTTTTTTTTACAAACAGCTTACTTTTGCTAGCTCATGGCCTACAAGACTACTTAAAATCGATTTCTGTACATTGAAGTCCACCGCAAAAGTCGCTGCAGCATTTATTTCCTATAGGACAGTCAGCGTCGTCAAGGCAGGAGATCTCGCCACACCAACCAAACCCACCGGCAAAACTGACCTGAAGTGAAACAAATGATTTGTTTATAGTTTTAAAATCAAGGTGAACCTACAACCAAACTTGTCATACGTGATTCTACGATTCTGCACATTTTATGGTAGTTCTGTCTCATGCAAGGGCGATATGATGGTGATGCTACCTTATTGCAGTCTCACACGAGGATTGATAGAATATCATATTATAATAAAGATATTATAATAATGTAATTTTATATTTATATATATCTATATATATATATATATATATATATATATATATATATATATATATATATATATATATATATATATATATATATATATATATATATATATATATATTATATATATATATATATATATATATAGATATATATATATAGATATATATTATATATATATATAAAGTAATAATTTTTTTGCAAACTTTTTCTCAAAATACGGTAAAATGTGTATATTTTTTTTATCGTTGGATTGCTCAAAATAGGTTTTAGTTAGACATAAAATTAGACTTTATATTAAAATGTTTTGATAAGGGCAAACGTTGATTAATAAAAACAATAAGGGTAAGATTTTTAAAAATATCTTATTCAATTATAAAACGAGTACAACTTTTTTAAAAATGAAGAAATCTTAATATGACCTTTTACTTATATGTGTACGTTATCTATATTTTTAGAAAATCATTTATTGCGTAAAATGCGATGTAACATGTGCATCTTTCCATTGAAATGTTGCTAATGCTAAAATATATAAAGAAAAACTCCACTCTTCTGTCGTTAGAGAAGTGTTTGAGGATGTCACAGAGTAATGTTTTGAGTTCAATTAAAAACACGTTTTGTCAGTGAAAATTTGAACGTCCAAGAATATACACTTTAAAAAATGTAACTCAGACTTACTGGGCACTTCCATGGTCCTTCACCCGTTATCTTCGACTCACACTGGCTTCCCGTGTACCCAGGGGGACATAGACAGTAGGGGGCGTCAGCAGGGGCGACACATGCCCCGCCGTTCTGGCAATCGAAATTTCTACATGGATCTCTCCTTACTGCGTGGAGGGGGGCACGATTAAAAAAAAAGAAAATTGTGCTAGTCCGTTACAATGACAACCAATAGGACAGGAAGAGTTTTTGTTGAGGTGGTCTGCATACATTTTTTTTTCAATAAGGGATGAACTTTTAGTCAAATTAAAAAAAAAATGGATGAGTCAATTTAATAGAAACTTGTTTTTTATACATGTGTGAAATAAACCCAGCAAGCTATATATTATTGTCAACTTTGTTTATATTATTTAAAGAAAGAAAAAAAGAGTAGTGACTAAATTCGGAACCAGGAAATGAGATAAATGTTTATTAGTATACATAATAAGCCTCCCAGGATAATGAACATCAGCTAGTTCATTGACTTTGGTCATAATCTTTTGTCTCACTCATATCTTATAGGCAGAGGCGTATAGTTCCATAACATAGTAATAAATAAATAAATTTAAAAGAATTTAAAAAAATATATATATATAATATATTTATAACAACTTTTGAATATTCAAGTATTTACTTACTCAGTTGAGTCTGAAATAGACAAACATGCTAGTTAATAGGATTTGAGAATATTTTCTAATGGGATATATAAATACGTACAGATATATATCGTCTCCAATAAAGCTTTTAAAATGGTTAAAATTTTACTTCCTGCGTTAATTTAAAACAAATAAATATATCGCCTTAGTGATAAAATATTTTAAAATGACAAGTATACTGAAGAGAAAACATTGCATTGAACTGTAACTGACCTGTGAGAGGGTGACAAAGGTCAGAGCCTGTAAACGAAAAATTATTTTTATTACTGAAATGTACAAATCTGAGGCCAAATAAAATGCAACATGTCTTTTCGAACATTTTTGTTGATATAATTATTTTAAAAAAGACCTGCCCCATTATGTTGTCTTGAAATGTCCATTTCCTCCGCCCACAAATCTTACATCTACATTTGTATTAAAGAAAAAGGAATTTCAAATCATGAAGACAAAACCTGTAGACAACACGTGTAGACAACACATGTAGATAACACATGTACACAAAACCTATCAAAGACACATGTAGGCAACACTTGTGGATAACATGCAGACAAAGCATGTACACAACACATGTAGTCAACACATGTAGTTAAACACATGTAGAAAACACATGTCAACAACATATTGTAGACAAAACCTGTATACAACAATAATAAAATGAAAGCGGAACCACTTTAACTTACAACTGTTCCTACGAACAGAAGATTGATCTTCATTGTCAAACACGAATGCTACAGTGCATTGCGGACACTCTTTTTTTGTGTGTTCTTTTCTCTGGTGTTGTTAACCTGCTCACACACTAAGACGGGAGTTTGAAGCAACCTGTGATGGCTCGTGCAATACCAATGCACCTGTCGTCACATGCATGCATTAAGTGAAAGTAAATTTAAGTTCTATTTTTTTTTAAATTGTCTAGTCAGCCCCTCTGTACGTATACGTATCTCATATGTTCGGTGTTACTGTAAACATTATCTCTTGTAAATATTGTGCTTTAAAGATAAGTTGCCTAAAATAAATTAATTAAAATCTTTTTAAAGACTTAACGAACTACGCATCAACACAATTGTACAGTACAGCTGGTGATTTTGACATAGTTCCACGCGTTATATTCCAAGTCATAGTTTTTGTCACCAAAAAAATTGTTTGCTAGAAGTATTGTGACACAAATACGTAAGAGTAAAAAAACAGGTAAATAGATGTAACTCATGAAAAAAAAAAGTAAAAGCCCTCATGTGTAGGCTATAAGAGCCATGCAAGTATGAGTATTTCTACAAGAAACACGTTGACTTAATAATAATAATAAGGATAATAATAAGCCTCATTCCAAAAACACGCTCCGTCCCTAATTAAGGGATCAAACGCGTAACAAATTTCAACCATATATGAAAAATTATATTTCCCACTTTAAAATACAAAACGCAACAATACGAAATCTGCATAATATAAATAAAAGAACATTTCTTGTCAATGTATAGTGTCTCTTATTTTTTAAACTACTGTTTTCAGCATTGGCCCATCTGTCAAGAAACAATTTAGAATCGACTCATCAATCACCAGGCTGCGGTCAAAGGAGGTGACAAGAAAATCGGTAACATGGCCGACGGGGTCACCCAGCGACACATTGTTTAGGCAATACAAAACTGAACATCAATCTCATGTCTACAGTAACAACTTTCAGTGTAGCCGGAGACAACTTTGGTATGGCAAATGAACTTTCAATAAGTGTTTAATGTAAATTATAGATACATTCATTTTTTAAGACAATTCCGTCAAACAATTTTAGTTCGAACAAGTTTCTTTTGTTCAAAAATACAATATAATAATAATAATAATAAATAAAAATTAGATACCTATAGGTCTATACAAAATCATTATTCCTGTATCTTGAAATTTTCAAAATATGTTCCTTTCATGATATTGTGCAAAAAAAAAAGGGGGGGGGATCATTATTTAGCTAATGAGTTACACGAGTTACGTTGAAACAAGGTGACAAGGAAATCGTTGATAGGAAAGCCCGTAACAACGAACAACATCGATTTAATTTTGGGGGCAACCAATTATCCAAAGCAATACAACAAATGTTTACAAGAAACATGCTGAAAGTTGTACATTGCGTTTATCCAAAGACATCTATGGGCAAAAGTCGGGCGCTTGCTTTACTGCCCCGTTATTGATTACGTCATTCAATCGTATTTATCTTTTGAAATTATTTACATAGACGTAATGTGGATGTATTCAGACATCAACTATTGTATAGGTTTACTTTTTGATTCATGTAATATTATTTACATGTGACTTTGAAATGAGTGAATACCTCAAATGAACTATTTTGACAATCTATGACAACATATTCTCTTGACATGACATAATATATGAAGTGTCTAATTGTAAAAAAGGGTCCTTGAAAACTCTACTCTCAGGGTGTAAAATGAACTGGACAGTTTTGTAGATACCTAGTGTCTCCGATCTGTTTCCGTTTAATTATTTAGTTCAAATTTTCATCTTTACTTTAGAATTTTACTTTTCTACTTCTTGTAAAAAAATCTCTTGAAGAAATATTTAACAATGCACTTTTTAAAAAAATGTTTTTAAATTGATAAATAATTTTCTTTTGTGGCTTCTCACTATTTCATGTGACACCTTAATGAGGATCTGGAATCATGTGTACTCTGCCTTAGTCCCCCTCACACACTCGAGCTGTGTGTCCTTTTTTAAGTTAGCTGTAGATTATTATTAAAATTAAATATTTTTTTTATCGCAGCCTAACACGCTTGCAAGCAACTGGTGTAGAGATTTGGAAGCTTGGCAAGATCTCGGTATAAATAGCCCCAGAGGTAAATGTATTTATTAACAAATTCCAACACTGTTTTAAATGAAAACAACCAGCAATCAGAATAAGCTGTTTCTTTAAGTCGGATCCTGGCATGACTATATTCCATGGGCATTTCCTTCATTCTAATTTGTTAACTTTCTTTTACTTGGCATTCTATCGTATTACATATTGTTCACTTACAAGGAACGTACGGCTCCCCGGACGGTGGGGTGAGGTAACGCAACACCCTCCCCGGAGAGGAAGCAAAGCCACTCCAACCAACGTCCAGACCGCATGACTCACTGGGCACCGGGGGTGGTAACGCAAAGCTGTTCCATGGTGAGTGGAAGCAAACTGCCCAGAACACCATTTTACTAGAGACCATGTTGCATGTCCGGAGTCCTCAGGGACTACTAGGCCATGTCTCATGGCCGAGGTCCTAAGAGATAGACTCTCGACCTCCTTAGAGGATTGAACTTTATTAGTGGCGTTTATTGGGCATAAATTTAGGGGGATGATTGCATTTCTATTTGACTGACAAAAATACTTTAAGATAAGATAAGATTCTTTTCTTGATCCACATAAATGGAATTGATTTTTGATTGCATTATACATCTTCATCACATAAATAAAACAATTTGAAGACAAGACATTTAAAATAAATTATCTCAAACAGCCATTCGGTGAGTCCTCTCAGCCTAATCGAGGACTTATTAGTTCTCATGAAGATGTGTGACTTCAGAGGAAGTACGCCGGTAAATTCGTACAGATGGGGAACAAAAGAATTTTCATATATGTCAGTCCTCGCTTTGATGGAAAGAATTATTCGTCCCCAACTGCCTCATCCTAAGTATTTGTGATAAAGAGAGTGGTATGTATCATCCAAAATGTGTTTAGTTTTACTAAAACATCTGTCTTTAAATAGTTCTTCAAGTGAAGGATGTCTTATTTGTGTTATGTTCCTAGCTTTCTTGATTAGTATTTGAATTAGCAGAACAATTTTCTACATTTTTTTTAAAAAGGCGTTTAATAACTATAATAATTCTCATAACAGGTTACGGAGAGCTGTGCGGTAAAGAATTCTTCTCCTTGATTTTCCTTATTGCAGGCCTACAGAATAGATTTTAGATTTCTTTTTTTTTTTATTAAAAAAATTAAAAAATTTCCTTCAATTAACTACTAGAATTAATGTACAAACATGAAATTTTTATTTAATTATTTTAATGAAAAACTAGGCTAATTTATTAAATTTATTAAGGTACTTATTTTAAAGGTGAATTTGGAAAATGCGGTTGAGAGTGCGGCTTAAACAGGTATAAATAAGACTCATTATGCAGAGTTAACATTGAAGGGAAGGAGTACCGAGAGAAATTTAAAGTCTATATCGTATGCAGTTTGTGGATTTACGTAAATAAATATATTCACTGAACACCAAAAGTTGAAAAAAAAAATGTGCAAAATATATAAACAAGGTTTCAACAAAAAAAGGAATAAAAAAAATAAAAAAATCGGGAATCAATTTAATTATTATTATTATTTATTTTTTTTTTGACATGCGCGGCGCACTGAGCTATCTCTTTAGAACATGACAGAGACTGGCGTCCGAGGGCAACGTAACCATAGTTCCATCACTGTGGCGAAGTTTGTATTAATTTTTCAATAAGGGCAAGGCGTATGTAGCACCTCAATTATTAGAATCATATTGTGTTTAGTAATTTAGTATGGATTGGACTCGTTAGCCTCGGATGGCAACTCATCTAAGAGAAGGAAACTCTGAAATCAAACCCGGAGATGGAGTCCCGAAAGGTGGATAACATTGATACAATGAAACATTCCGGCAACTCCTGCGACGTCACTGATGCCAAGCTGTATCATCCAATGATGTTTCCTTGTGGTTATCCAGCGGCGTGGAGAGAGGATTTGCTGTTGGGAACCAGCTTATAATCCTTGAAGAATAATCCCAGGCCATGTGGATTTCGTCCTCCGAGGCCCACTCCATCGTCACATTGTGACGGACGGATGCCAGCAAAAAAAAAAAAAAAAAATTAGTATTAAAATAAGTTTGATATTGAAATGGCATACACAGAAGAGATAGGGCGAAGGGATTTTTGAAGAAGATGGGATGGAGATATTTTTCGGATATAATCCTGGAAGAATAAACCCAGGCCATGTGGATTTCGTCCTCCAAGGCCCACTCCATCGTAAAATTGTGACGGACGGATGCCAGCAAAAAAAAAAAAAAAAAAATTAGTATTAAAATAAGTTTGATATTGAAATGGCATACACAGAAGAGATAGGGCGAAGGGATTTTTGAAGAAGATGGGATGGAGATATTTTTCGGATTTAAAAAAAAAACAACAAAAAAAAACAAACAATATTCATATAGTTCAAGAACAACTGTTTATTTTTTTATGATATTTTTAACAGCCGAACTTTACAAGTTCATAACCTTATAGTCTCATCGGAATTGTGTCAAGTGCAGAGATATCCACCACAGGCTCTAGGGCAACATCTAAGTTTTAAATTTTCCAGAAGAGTAAGTTTCGTCACAAAAGAAGGTTCAACCACACACTCCAATGTCGCCAGGTTGAAGGATCTAAAGTTTTAAAATGATAATTTTATGTATTAGTCTTCGGCGTTTGAAGGGGGGTGCGTTTATTAACCACGGGCGTCACACTTTCTTTATGATATGTGGCGTTATATTTTCGGTCAAGTGTTGATTTTCTTTTGCCATGGAAGGTGCGGCTAAAATTTTAGCATGCCCTGGGTGGAACTAATCTTAAATAAGCCACTGTATGTAGTTTAAACTTTGTTAACGTTAAGGCATCGCGATGATAAATTTTGATGCTCTTATGCTGAGATATTCGATCCCTTTGGTATTGGTATCTTATGCTAGTCTTGTCTTATGGTAACCTCATTTTGTGGTGTTTGTATCTTATGCTTGTGTTACCTGATGATAATGTCATCTTATGGTGCTGGTATCTTATGGCAGAGGTCTTATGGTGGTTCTATCTTATGGTAAAGCTGTTTGATAGTAGCGCCATGTTATGGTAGTACTATCTTATGGTGTTGCTATGTTATGGCAGTGATATATTATGGTATGGCTTTTTTATCGTAGGGCTATCTTATGACACTGCTATCTTATGGTACAGCTATTTCATGGTAGTACGAACGTATGTTAGTGCTGACTTATGTTTGTGCTTTCTTACGATCGTATAATGTATGTGGGTATTTGCGTGTGAGAGTGTGTTTATATTTGCTTCTGTTCATGCTTGTGCACATGTTTCATTATAAGTGACATCTTCTTCGCATTGGAAAGCGGTGATGACTCCATCCTGATCCTCTTAGATCTCAGTGCAGTCTTTGATACCGTTGACCATTAAACCATCTTCAAAACCCTTAAAAATGATTTTGGCCTTTCTGGTTCAGTGTTGGCTTGGTTTAGGTCTTAACTCTCCGATAGAACGCAGGCGGTCGCTCCGTTTTGTGTCCCGCCAAATTCATTGTGTATTCCAGGCCACTTATCATCCTGCTTGGGAGGCACGCTGTTGAGAGGCAGTCATTCGCAGATGACAGTTAAAAAAGCATGCAACATCCCTCTCTTGTCAATTCCGCTATCCACACCGTGTAGGTGTGCATTGGTGATGTCAAGTCATGGATTACTCTAAGTAAGTTGAAGCTAAACGATGACAAAACGGAAGCCCTCTTTATTCACAATCATGGATGATCCTCTAACACAATCATAGTTCTCGCATCTGTCGTTCTGCCTACACTGCTATCCGTCAGAACAGATCGAAGTGCCACAAACTTACAGTTAGTGCAACGATAACACTAGTCTGTGCTCTTGTTCTCTCTCGTCTTGACTATTGTAACTCGCTTCTGTCAGGTTCAACAAAACATTTCATAGAAAAACTGAAGAAATGTCAAAACGGCGCTGCTAGGTTAGCTCTAAAGGCAAATAAAGGTGATCACGTCACTCCATTACTGCACCCACTTCATTGGCAACCTATACATGGACGCATTGATTATACGCTGTCTTTTCTATATCTCAACTTTTCTCTGGTTCCAGCTGTTCCTATCTTACTTTACTCTTACCGTCTGTTCACCCCTTCGAAAGCTTCGTTCCTTCGCAGACACGAGTATTCTTTATGTTCCAATAACACGCACTAAAGCATATGGCGACCGATATTTCTCTTTCTGTGCCCTAAAAAAAATTTGAATTCTCTCCCATTGCACATCCGCAGTATAAAGGCCATCCCAGCCTTCAAAACTGCCCTCAAGTCCCATCTGCTCAAACTGTACTATTCCAACTCATTCCCATCCCTCTTACTAATAAAAAAAAACGCTCGATTCTGCTGGGTGCAGTCCATGGCTAGACAGGGGTAGATAGAACTTGGGTGAGGTCAAGCTTTTCAAAAGTTGTTGTTTTTAAAGGTACACGTTTCTGATTTTGCAAATTGTTATGTTTAGCTCAGTGAACCTAGCCCGTTAGACAAACGCTTAATTTGTGACATGCGATAAGTTGTTTTTTCCCCCTTAAACTCGTCAAAACTTATCTCTTCAAAATAATCTTCTTTTAGGACCTGACATTAAGTATTATTCGTTGGAAGAGAAAAAAATCTTTTATTTAAATATAAAAGTTTAAAAAAAATGTTACTTAGAAAAAAAAATATAAACAAATATATTTACAACAAATAAATAATAAAACAGTGTTTACTAGAGAAATGTATTCCACTTACTCTACTAACTTGGGTCTTGACATCTTATCCCTGAATATCCAAAGGGGCATTCACAAATAGCAGTGTCTCCATAGGCAATACAATTCGCACCATATGAGCATCTTACGATCTGGCAAGGATCTTCCCCATCTGAACAAGAAGAGTGGGAAAAAAATGTTTGCCTTATTTTTTTTGTTCCCTTACAGTCACGGCTTGTGACGGACTTAAAATCTGTATCGCTATAACAAAGAGCACAATGGTTGATTATATTTAACCATGAACTACTGCCATTTTATGAAAGCTGCAATATTATTATTTTTCGGAAGATATCTCTGAACTCAGAACCCTTGGAGATGGAGTCCCGTAGGTGGTTTTACATCGACGCAATGACAATTCTGACAACTCCTGCGACGTAGAGCGAATTAACAGCAAAAGTGAAACGCGCAGCTCGAGTCAAGGCTGCTTCTCAAGTCTCGGTCAATTCCCGCCTGCGAGGGACGAACATCATTATTATTAGACATGTGTTTCGTCGTAATAAACGACAAGACCGCCATTTTGTGACGTTTGGTGCATCTTGGCAACAGTAAATATTACATAGACAACGCACTGGCTCACCTTGGCCCAACCACGCTACAGGGTCACGGATAATAATAAATCATTTTGAATCTAAAAATAGTAGTTAAACTATTTTTTTTTTCTTTTGACTACGGAAAAGCTTGGACATATTTAACAAAGGTTATTATTTCACATAAGTTGATAATTATAAGTGCGTTTTTTAATTGCGTTCAACATATAAAATGATATTAACAGTGCTTATTTGTGATGGAAATCTGTTGATTTTGTTTCTAAAAATTCATTTATTAACTATGTAGTTCAGCTCCAAAAAGGTTTACATGAAAAATACAAGGCAAATTATTATTTAGTGATATTAAAAAAAATATTTGTTTAAGACAAGCAGGTCAAAGAGAGCTGTCGCTCGACCTTTCGATGCCCCTTTTTTCCACACTTCCGCTTGTTTAGTTAAAAGTATTTAGTTTAGGTCGGCACAACATACGACCCGCCAGCACCCACTTTGTTACCCACGTAGTAGCGACATATTCTTTGCTAAAATATTATATTATATCAATATAATCTCAAAAAGAACTACTGCATGGGTGGATCCCTCGCAGTTTTAATCAAAGAATTATCGCATTCGAATAAATGGTATAGGAGCGCATATGGAAATTATTATTTACAAAGCTCACATAATGAAACCCCCCAAAAAAAGAATTAAGGGCCAGCGGCCCAAAACTGAATATTTTAAAAGGGTTGTAATGACTCAGAAAAATTAGCTGGCTTATGGACAACATCTCACTATTGGTGTAGGAGCGCATACTAGACATATATACATACCGACAGACATTCGTTTATATTTATTAATATATATATATATATATATATATATATATATATATATATATATATATATATATATATATANTTAAAGATTTACTTACCGCCCTGAGCCTGAAGAAAAATTAATACAGTTGAATTGGCAAAGCTTGAAATGGTAATATTATTTTTTTGGGGTCATTAAATAGTACACACATAAATGGCTATATAAATGTTGATTCTATAATTAATATATTTATATATAAATATATATATATATATATATATATATATATATATATAACATGTATAAATTAACGCTTTTTATTTCATTTTAGTTTAAATTCCACAAATATTAAAAATAGTTCATGCCTGTGAAGCTATTAATTATTCATCATGGATTAAGAGAACATTTAGATTACATAGATTTTAATTTACAGACCTGTGCATCAGAGACAAAGATGAGAATCTGCAATAAAAACAGTTTAAACATTAAAATTAAATTATCCCCTATCTGAGACTGTATGGAACAAGACTGCCTAAGCAGCTGTGCATATTTTAGAGATATTTATTAACACATGAAATAACCAATAAGAACAAAAACACCCAATGAAAACAATTCAGTTAAGAATTTTGTTAAACTTTTTATTAAAAACCAATTAATTTCAAATCATATTAACTGGAAATTAATATTTATGTATATGTTAATTTATAAACACTTAATAAATCGTCGGTAATAATTATTAATTGAATAAATAATCTTACAGTATTTGTTTATGTGTCTGATTTTAATAGTAAAACACACACACACACACACATATATATATATATATATATATATATATATATATATATTATATTAAATTATAATATTTGATTTTACTTAAATGCATGATTAATTGAGAATAATCGCATAAAATAGATGTAGACTTTATGACAACAAAAGTAGATCCACAAAGCAAAAACTTACGGCGGCTCCAACGAGAAGAAGATGGCGCATCATCGTTTAAGACGTCTGCTATAATGGACGTTATCGTTTCTTCCCCGGTGTCACCAGGTCGACAACAAATTGGGGCAGACGTTCGGAGAAAATGTTAATGGCTTGCACCATTTATAGCCAACATTTTTTTTTTTTTTTAATGTTTTAAAATTGGTGACAATATAAAGCTTGTGACATTTTGAAGGCGTAACACACTTACGACGTACATGTGGACAGTTACTGTAAACATTCTCTGTTTTTTTTAATTCAACTTGTTTGTAGCTCTAAAATATAGTTCAGTTCATGTTTCAATATAATTCTTGAAAATTTGCGATTGGTGCAGCTTACAGTCGACGTGTTTCATTGCAAGATATTCATTGGCATGTTGATTATAAAGACCTTACAAGTATTCATTGCCAGGGATGCTGTGCAACAATCTTCAAGCTAAATATTTTATTTCTCATTCCTTAACCCAAACCTTAAACAAATCATATGATGTTATGTCTGTGTGGTACTTTGGCTTAAGTAACGAATCCCTAGACAGAGTGCCAAGAGGAGATCTCATACGAGAGATACCCCTCACTAACAAGTCATAAGTCAGATCACCACAGAAGTGAGATAAAGAAAAGAGGTTGCGTTATAGGAACACTGTTTGTGGGGGCTTTAGGGGGTGGGGGTTGATATTGATATTTTTCAAGGCTGGACTTTGGGGAATAAAGAATGGTTAGGTGGTGAAGGTCAGAATATATATGTCCTATATATTTTAGAAGATTAGGTTAAATTTCCATTTTATTCGTTGCGAGAGGTATGATAGTTAAGAGAGGTTGGACGGTCGGGTTGGATGATACAGGGATGGAAAATTCTCAGATAAAGTATCCTCATGTCCGAGTTTTGCATTACTGCCACGCGGAAAAGTAGAATAAACAATGACTTGTTAAGTTCGCTTGTCGGGGAATCAACGAAGAAACAGCTTTGAAGCACACGACGAGTTTTGACGTGAGGCAACCAAATGTAGAATCATCTGAGACATTAAAGTATTCTCTGATGCATTGCCCCATAAACACAAGGTTTAATCGGATAGATAATAACTGGGATTCGACCTGTCGGCACTGCAGCCTAGTCCCAGAAACAACAGCGCATCCGTTGACAGAATGCCCGAATATTTTATTTAGAACAACGAATGAAATGATAACGGATGAATAGTTTTATAAAGACTCTTCTGAGTACCTGGACTCCAGAGGGAAAAATTTACATTTGATCGGGAGAAGCATTTCATTTAATCGAATGAAATAAAGGCATTTGCTGTCATTTTTCGGAGAGGACGAGACCTTGTTTTATGCGATGCCTTCAGAAACCCTCCGGAGATCAGTTGTCACATGAAATAAACCAACTAATTTGCTACTATAGCTAACAATAAACGTCAATGGGATGTTTTCATGTCGTGGCTTTGAAAAGTGGCTGCACCAAGGAAGATGTGACGTATCCATAACGGTTGATTAGTGTTGGATCTCTTTGCTGGAATGACCTGGCAGTTTTCACCAAGCAGAAGCCAGATAAAACGAGCAGCTACCATGTTGAATAGCTGGAAAAGTGTGTATACAAAAACAAATATTTGGCTTTTCTTTGAAGTAGGCAATATTCACCTAGCACACGTTTGTGTCAAAATATGTGTTGGGCAAATTTAATTATTTTCTTGATTTTATGCTAGAATTTATAATAATATTGTAATTTTGTAATAATATTACATTAAAAAAAAAGTGTTTTACAGTACGTCAAGTATTTGTAAAGACGCTTAATTTTATCGTTATTCACTTGTAAAATTTTATTTTATTTTAAGGATAGGGAAAGTGGGAAATAAATTATTTAAGGCAAGAGATGCTGGATTGCGTCATGTTCAACAAAGATTACAATAGTTTTAAGGCATGGAAATCATAAATCGTAAATAAATTAAACAAACTGAAAAACAAAGTTTGTTTGTATAAATATTTTGAAGTATATTATTCTATTTTAGGGTGGCTGGGGCTTAAATCTGACAAAACATGAATTCAAGTAATGCACATCAGCTAACACTCAACACATAGCAATTCCACAAAAGCGTTTTGCACTGACAAGATGCATTTTTTTTTAACGTTTTAACAATCTTTGCAAAAACCCATTCGCCGGGCTGTTGCATTGTTTAGGTCGGCATGTAGACCAGAACATCAATTTTAAGCCGATTTAGGTGATCGGGTAACATGTCGGGACGTATGGGCTGCAGGGAAATCTTGGACAGAACCACGACTTGGTTAACAACGGGTTATTGATTCTATATGCATCGTTTTAGATGTATTGCTCAAATGCTTAGAGGATTTTTCAAATCATTTCTGTGTGTGCTGTTTGCAGTGTTACGTATTGTTCACTTAACGAACGAAATCTCAAGCCAGATTAAATGTTCGAAACCCTATAAATTAAAAGGTCCATGACACCTCTGTTGTGGCATTTGAAGGAGGGAGAACGGATATGACAGAACCAATGGGCACCACTTTTTGTGGGAACCCCTGCCTAAAGCCTACTTTTCAAGTAATGTTATGAAAAGCATTATGGCTTGGGTTGGCCTTTTCGTTTTGACCAGTTTCTTTCAGGTAATTTGTCAAAGGGGGGGGGGGGCGAGTGGAGGTCAGAGCATCTATCAGAACTAAAATTAGGAATTTTGATGTGCAGGACCAGCTCTAACTTCGTGGAAACCAACCCATACAACCATACATTTATTATGGTAACAGAGCCCCCTGAGGGGATCCCTTTCGCTCCAGCTCAGTTTTATCCCTAGAATCTCTATAGCCCAACTACTTATACCGAATTTAAGGAAAATGATACTTTTGTCCGCTAAAAACAAGTATATTTTTTACTCGCAACCAGCGGTTTTTTTATATTAAAAAGCGTCTGCACTTACACTTAAACTGCGGAAAGAGAAGAGATCGGGGCGAAACTAAAAGTAAGTTCGGAGAGAGGTCTCAGTAAGCCTCTCCAGAGTAAATTTTTGATCAATTCAAAATGATGGGATGCATTTAGGCGCATACATGAATTTAGTTTTACATTGTTCTACATTTAACCAACTATCAACAGGAAAGATTTTGGTTAAAACGTAGGTGCCCTTGACCATGCATATGTTATAAAAAGCCTTATATTTTTGTTGTATCCAACTAATAATGTTGTTTTATAATTTCTTTGAAACTATTTATTTGTTTCAATTAATTCATCAATTAATGAGTGAAAATTAAAAAGTGAAAAAAATCCGTTCAAAACAGTTGATCGTTTATTAAAAAAAAAAAAAACAGAAAAAAATAACAACAAAAAACTACAAACCATCTATTAGTTTTTACGACGACACTGGATGTGATGGTAATTTTAAATCGGTACCATCTTTCTTTCAACAATAGTATACAGTATTTCATGACTGCATAAACACACTTTTGTGCCATAAGTTCCTCCTAACAAAACTGTAGTTATTGACAGCTTTTCCGAGCCATCAAAGACGCAGAGTCTAACCAGCAAAACTCATATCATTATTCTATTTGACTTTGAGCTTGCAATGGTAAATGCTAAAATGTCGAGTTTCCTCAAACAATTACACCAGGATACTTTCTTTTTCACCTTTTCCAGTGTATTATAGAAATTTTTAGTCAAATGGCTTGAAGCTAAAGTTTAACTCTGATCAAGCATCCAACATTAGCAGCTTTTAATTTACAAATAAAAAAATATTTAAAAAAAAATAATTCGACCGAACTTCCTTTCGACACAAATTCCGTTCAACCAAACTTCCGTCCACCAAACTTCTGTTCGACCAAACTTCCGTCCACCAAATTTCCTGTCGACGAAACTTCCGTTCGACCAAACTTCCATTCGATCGAATTTCATTTCGAAAAAACTTCCGTCGATCATTTTTCCGTCAACGAAATTTCTTTCCAGAAAATATCCAGATATGATTTCTACGTGTATCCTAACTTGAAATTAGACAATAACAAGACTGCGCGCAAACCCAGACAAAATCAAAGTACAGATGAGTGGAAAGGAAGTTCCACACATATTTTTTTGATTACACAAATTGTTTGTGTCTAATGAATCAGCACTAATACAGCGCCACGATGGCACCGCTGCAGCACTACAAAAAGAACTACAATGGCCGAGTTAATAACATCAAATTTCTGAAACGCCATTCAGGTGATTTACAGACGAACTATTGATTTACAAGATAAAATGATGTCTACTGAAACAGATCAAATATTTAGACAATAATTTTGTTTTGGAATAATGTATTGTTTTTTTATGAGTTAGAAGGAACAGGAAGATAATTGAGGTATGTCGTGAACAGAAGGGCATAAGGAGATACGTGAGAATGTAAGTAATATGTGTTAAACAGAAGATATGCTCTTGCCGTACGTCTTATGACATCGGATCACTCATTCAACAGATCTGTGTGGAAGTCATATGTGAAGTAAATAGACAACGTCAATTATATTTTACTCCAGTTCTCGAGGATGCATTTCCTTGTGATGTAATGTATGTATAACAAATGGTTATAAACGGAGTTATGGTTCTTGTGCTTTGTTAGATAATTATGGACGTCTGTGAATATGAATAAATAATACAAGCAATAACTACAAGTAACATCATCAGCCCATGGTTGTTACACCTGAAAATACCCTATGATGTATTCTTTTTCATTAAAATTTAACCAAAGGAAAAAAAAAACCGAGTCCGTTGTTTTTTAAAAGGCTCGTCGTAGTGCCGTAGTCTTTAAAAGGCTCGTCGTAGTGCCGTAGTCTTTAAAAGGCTCGTCGTAGTGCCGTAGTTTTTAAAAGGCTCGTCGTAGTGCCGTAGTCTTTAAAAGGCTCGTCGTAGTGCCGTAGTCTTTAAAAGGCTCGTCGTAGTGCCGTAGTCTTTAAAAGGCTCGTCGTAGTGCCGTAGTCTTTAAAAGGCTCGTCGTAGTGCCGTAGTCTTCAACAGGCTCGTCGTAGTGCCGTAGTCTGTAAAAGGCTCGTCGTAGTGCCGTAGTCTTTAAATGGCTCGTCATAGTGCCGTAGTCTTCAAAAGGTTCGTCGTAGTGCCGTAGTCTTTAAAAGGCTCGTCGTAGTGCCGTAGTCTTTAAAAGGCTCGTCATAGTGCCGTAATCTTTAAAAGGCTCGTCATAGTGCCGTAGTCTTTAAAAGGCTCGCCGTAGTCTTTAAAAGGCTCGCCGTAGTCTTTAAAAGGCTCGTCATAGTGCGGTAGTCTTTAAAAGGCTTGTCGTAGTGCCGTAGTCTTCAAAAGGCTCGTCGTAGTGCCGTAGTCTTTAAATAGGCTCGTCGTAGTGCCGTAGTCTTTAAAAGGCTCGTCCTAATGCCGTAGTCTTAGGCTTAAAAACACAGTTACTACAGCGAAAGCGTAGGGGTAAACAGGTCTGAAACCACGCCCCAATTCATGAACATGCCCTAAAATTTCTCCTGCTCACATGGCACATGAAGGACATACACAGGACACATAATACAACTTAGTTGTTCTCACCTTAACCCATAAAACCAGATAAACCACCAACGTCCGACCCTCCCCTGCAGACTTTCAAACGAGACGGTAG